ATGGGGTGTGAATGCCTGACACATTCTTTGAGGATGCAAACCTTTTCCTTTTATATGATACTCGGGGTCAGTTAGGATGCATTTACCCAAAACTGTTGAATCTGAAAGAGGAGCGCTCCAACAGAGGCTCACATGAAGTGGGCGAGCTCACTGTGGGACTACATGAATGCCTGCGCCATGCGGCAGGAGCTGTGGAGGTTTTGATGAAAACACACACAAGGAGGTAATGAAGACATTGGAGCCTCTCTGCCCAACACGGTCGTTTAGTGGAGAAGGGGCTAAAATGTCCTTGACATTGCATAGAGAGACACTGCTGGGGAAGGGGGTATTTGAATCCAAGGGGACCAGAGAGAGGCAAGGAAGCAGACATGTGGGGCAGAATGAGGTTTGAAGAAAGGAAAAGGTGGTAGAAAATAGAAAAGGAGAAAGGAAAATAGCAAAGGAAAAAGCAAAGAGCAACTCCACACATTTAACTTGGAGGGAAATGGAGCAACAAGCCAGGACACATGTGGCGGAGGGAATCAAGATACATTTAGGTACAAAAATTTTGGAAATACACACATATTTTTTTAATATGCATTTCCATGAATCTTTTGAAGAATTCTCTTATGAGGAAATTAACTTAACTTACCAACAGTTCAGACAAGGTTCCATCCAGCCCTAGATCTGTAGACTAATAAGTCCAGAATCTCACCATGCTGGCAAGAAGTGTTCATTTTATAGCAATTTCACATAAAGGAAGTCTGTTGTTCAATAAGGACTTTAAGTGACTGATGGGAACTTACATGGTTTTTCCTCCTCACTTATTCCATCAGTTCTATGGTATCCCTAGTCACTCAGACTTATAAATCCAGCATCAATTCCTATTCATTTCCTTATTCATCCTTGTGCACCAAATCATCTGGGTTCTACTTTTAACCCATCTCTAAAATTCGTCGTAATTCTGTCCTCATTATCTCCTCCCAGCCCATAATGTAGACATTAGGATCTAAACTGAGCTTCTCACTATCAAATCTCTATCAAAATTGCCATGGCCCCGGGGCACCATCTTGCTCTTCAATATGAGCACCACCCCTCACTCCTGTATCCAAAATGCTTATAAGCTCTTGTATGCTGCTCAATGGAACATACATTTTTCATTCAAGTCCAAAGCTTTCCATAATATCTTCAAATACAACCCTCATGATATCTTCAACTACTTCCCCCATAGCCCTAAGGTAAAGTCAAGCTAATTTTTGTATCCCACACTATAACTCAAATATACTCACGTGCTTTCCTGCTACACAGACGAGCAACATACAGCCCTAGGGCAGTTTAAAGTCCAGAAAATCATTTGGTCTGGCCCTGCCAAAGCAACCATGGATGGGACTTGAAAATTCAAAAAAAGAAATCTATAGCAGGCTAATCATTAAATTGGTAATTTTGTGTAGGCCATGAAAGATGATATGAATATCCAAATGGCCCTTGGCAGTAAAAAGATTCACCACCTTCCTCTCCCTAATCAAATTTAATTTATCTAATTCCAATTTAATCATAACTCTGATTCAATCATAATTCTGATTTACTCTTTTGGATTAAAACCACCCTACACCTAAAGACTGTGAAATACTACCTCTTTCTCAACAACATTTAACCACAATATTTCATCTCTGCTTCAATGGAATCGTCATAAAATTTTTTGAGATTATACCCTGCACTGAGTTGTAGGTATTTGGCATGTCTGCTGGCCTCCCTACTCAGTGTTGAGCTGCTTGATACACCTTGTCCTTAAATACTTTCAACAGCAGAGAGCCTAGCACATATGTCAGACTTCAAATCTGTTTGCTAAATCGAATCCAATTAGGTCTTCCCAGTGACTACAACTGGAATTCTTTTATGTGACATATTTCAAAAACGACTTTAAAAGACTTTCAAGAAACCAGTATTTTATTGAAGTGCAAGCATAGCTGTTCATGGAGCTACCGAGGGATGGCTTAGGAAAATCAACCAAAATCATTTTCACACAATTGTGTCTGGAAGACATATTTCCCTAAAATAACTGTATTCCTCCACAGACTCTCATCACCCACAGCAACAAACACTGTGCCAGGCCTTTATGCTATAGAAGTTCAAGGAAGACTCACATGCCATGAACAAGTGGACACTGGAGGAAACAGACTTTCAATAACGTGAACATAATCAATTTCACTCAGCTCAAACTAAACTGAGTATGTTTCACATGATTCACAGTGTAAGAATCCCAGCAGAGGAGACGGCAAAAGGGCACAGTGTATCTAATACAGCTGCTCTGAGACTGGGCCAGAACCGCTCTCCTTGCCTGACCTTTGGGGCCTTAAATCAATAACAGGCCCAAGACTACAAGAAGAGAGCTCAGCCGGCCTCAGAGCAAGAACTGCTCAACAAACAAAAGGCCAGGCTGTCTGTCTGTCCATCCACCCACCCTAGCCTATCTTTTGTGTGTCACTATAACACTATGTTGCACATATACACACACATGTATTATTATAATATCATTTATAAGTATATATAATACTAAAATACATATACTAACATGGATTTAGCATTTACTTTCTGTCAGGCACTGTTCTATAGGCTTTTTATTTTACAGATGAAGAAATCAAGGTCAGATCTTCTACAAACTGTCCAACTTTACACAGCTATTAAATGACGGGACTGGGATTTGAATCCTGGAAAAACTTCCCCCAGAAGCTCTCCTTTTAACCATAATATTATTTATCACCACAGCAGAATCTTATTTTCTTCATGGAAGTCAGGGAGGTCTCTGGTAGTTACTCTGTTTTCGGAAGGGACTTAGGAGGGCTTATCATGGAGGTAGAGGCCCAGGTTCACTTAAAGCCAGAAAACCCACTATGTTCCCATCTTATTAGTTATAAAATTGGAACTCCATCTTACAAATGCAACTGAGACGTTAAATTTGAAACACAGAACTCGCCGGCCCAATGTGTTGCATGTAGGGATCTCCTCGTGGGCCTGGAAACCTAATTAGAGCAATCAGGGAAGCGAATTCTGCAAGAGGCCTGTTGAGAGGGCCTCGGCAGGCATCAGTCAGCAGGCCAGATGGAAAAGGAGCAAATCCGTTCACTCAGCCTTGCTATAAGGAGAAGCAATTCTTCATCTTTAGAAACATAGACACAACCAAAATATATCCGCGTATGACTCAGGACTGAATTTTGCATCAGGAAGGGAGGAATGCAGTAACAAACAACAAAATTCTATAGGACAGAGAGAGTGCTGCACCCTCCAGCAGCCTCCGCAAAGCTGGCCACAAGGCTCCAGCTCAGCTTCTGCAAGAGTGAGGGGACCTGTGGTCGCGCGGAACTCATCCAGCAGGTGAAAGGCCTTACCTTACCTCCTACAGGCTAACGAACTACAATACAGAAGCCCCTGGAAATGTCCTAGAGACTCCCAATATTGAAGAGATCTTGGCAGAGTGATAAAAGGCAGAGGGGGTTGGTTTTGGCCCTTGGGATGCTCACATTCCACCCTGCAGGGCCTGGGTTCCCACCCCAGCTCCACTCCTGACTCCAGCTTCCTACTGATGTGCACACTGGGAGGCAGCAGGTGACGGCTCAAGTACTTGGTTAATACCACCCGGGCGGGAAACCAGACTGGTTTTCCGGCTCTCAGCTCCAGCCTAGCCCAGCCCTGGCCTTTGCAGGCATTTGGGGAATGAACTAGAAGATAAAATCACACATGCTCTCTGCCTCTCTGCTTTTCACTGTCTCTGCCACTGTCTCTCTGCCTAATTAATTAATTTTCAAAATATGAACCTTGAAACAAAATAAATACAGGCAAAAAACAGATAAACCAGGACACAGTTGCATTTGGAATGAAATACTAAGTGATATTTAGCTTTCTTTCTAAGGGCTACCCCTAAAAACCCCACAGCTTGTGCAACTGATCAAGTTAAAATAACAAATTCTAGAATTCAATATTTTTGCAGTTGAGCTTCAGCCTCCACAGGGTAAACAAACCACGCAGGCACACCTGTGCCAAATGACTTCTATGCCTATTTTTTCCACTGCCAAGCAGTCTGCATGTTAAGTACACTCACTGTGCACTGCAGGGCCCAGGTGCCAAGCAAACACCGTTTGCTCCAGACACATGCCTGCTCTCTGTGCTAGGGTAGGACATCTCTGTCTTAGCTACTTCCAGGGTGAAACACATCGCTATTTATTCCCACAGATCTGCCAAACCCTGGTTGGAATACACTGTGCTGTCCTCTCCAGGGTGGAGTCTCTGCACAGCCCACACTAACCAGAGCTCTTGGCCGAAGGAAATTCCACAGTGACGTGGAACTGGTAAGGAGGTTAGGCGTGCTCTCCACAAACTAACTTCTTGACCCTTCTCAGTATCCGAGGCTGAATCACTTCTATCCGATCTGTGAAGCCAACGAATGCATTTTCTCCCCAGGATCACGAAATACCAAGTGTCACTGCAGCTCCAACATGCGACATGAAAATACTCGAAAACAAGACAAGCGCCATGCCTCCAAAGTAAATATGCGCCTGGTTTTTTTTATTCCTTTTTATGCTTGTTGATATGCACCCTGTGTGTGAACTGTATGCTGAGCACAAGAGGGCAATCAGAGTTCAAAGACACACTCTGCCCCCTTGGGATGGAGGAGGGCCGTACCCCTCCCCGTGTTTCCTAGATAAAACAAAATAGAGGCTCATGATCTGCGAATACTATGGTTTATGTTCTTGATGGAGGGAGGGCATCAAAACAGTCCACTGGTGAGGGCGTGGGGAAACTGAGTGTGTAATGAGGAACGTAGATAGATGTACTGGGTTTGACCACTGAGGGATACTACTGCCACTCACGCTGGGACCTGAGCGGTTAGCAAGGATTGTAACAACTCCACCAGAATCAGCCCGTGCAAGCACAACCCTGGACCAGGGCTTCACCTCGGGGTGCTCATAGCAGGGGAGAGGCGTCCCCACCGCTCACCCCGCTGTGCAGCCGCAGGAATCCCTTACCTGCGCAGGTCTTGCCGTCGTAGGTCTCGCACACCCACTCGTGGCACTCACACAAGGGCCCAAAGTAGGTGCCGGGCTCGGTCACGTGACAGATGCAGACGCCACAGTCGCACCGGCCCCGACCGTGGCACAGCGCGCCCCCGGGGGGCTGCCCAGGGGCGCGGCACCGGCGCTCCGACTCCGCCCGGGACAGCCTGCAGGCGGCGCCCGACCAGCTTCTGCGTGGGGCGACAGGGACCACAGCCAGGTCACAGACACACATACACACACACTGCCCGGTCTGCTCCGGGCCCAGTTTCCTCCCCGTTGTCCACCCCGGGGGGAGACGGACAGCCCCAGGGGTATGACCCAAGTGTCACAGTGGACTGAATTTTATGAAAAACGGGAGGTGCCTACAGAGACTTGCACCTGGTCTAATGGCAAGGGGCAGAGTGCATACATGTGCAGCAAAGCAGACTTTATGGAAACTACTGGAAACTTTGCTCTCCTAAGGGGAATACCCCAGCACCTCTCTCGGAATGCAGCGCACACCCGACGTGGAGTGCAGGTATACTCAGGTGCACCTTTCTCTCTTGCCAGGGTCGTGCGAGTGGAGCTTCCATTTGAGGGTGGTGTTTTTCAGAAGCAGAAGCCAAAGGTCAGAGACCAACATGCGGTGCGGATTGATCAGGAAAGCAACAGGAGCAGCTTGGAAACCGCTTATCCCACGTTCAACTTGGGAACTGCTCTTGGCTTAGCACGGCGCTCTGCAGGCGTGAGCCTTGCCACGCAAAGCAGGCCACTCGGTGCACAGAGGAACAGACCACACTCACCTCAGGGACGGCGAGAAGCCTTGTGGAGCGGCTGACAGCCCGGCGAGGAGAAGGGAGGAAGCCAGCAGCAAGAAGTGCCTGAGGCTGGGCGGCCGCATGCTGAGCGCAGAGGCTGCGCCTGCAAGGTGGGGCTCCCAGGGAGGCAGCAGGAGGGAGAGGGGCCACCGGCAGATGGCCAGGCAGACGGACCCACGGACACCCAAGCTGCACCCGGAGCTGCAAATGCGTTGATGAGCCGCCTGCGAGGATTTGGGCAGCGGCGCTGCTCTGGGCGGGGTGCTGGTGCCAAGCCCTTCCAGTGGAGAGCCTAGGCAGAGAGGTAATTAGAAACAGTTGTACAAGCAGATGGTGTATTTGACATTAAAAAAAAAAAGTGTCCTGTTCACAGATTTTAGAAAATCATTCCTTTCTTCAAGTACTGGCCTCCGACATTCTTGTCAACAGAATATTTGAGCTGGCTGATGACAAAGGGACCCTTAAAATAACCCCCCAAGTTGTGGGGAGGAAGGGGGAGGCCAGTTACTCCACCACATGCTGGTGAGGGGATGCAGGACTGGGGGATGGGTGGTGAGGGGCTAGCAAACCTGGCACGGGCATTGGTCCCTGTATTTATTGTCCTTTGTTTTGAACGGCTCAGTGCCTGTCTTAAGTCTTTAGAAAGCCTGTCAGGCTTCCAGTTGCTCAGGCCAGTAGCTTATCGCGCCACATTTTTTCTTGCCTTGGACGGTGCACATCCTAGTTGTCCCAAATTCACCCCAGCCTCCCGCACCAGTCAAGTGCAAGGAACCAAGATGTCTGCTCACTGTGCAAAGTGCACTGGGAAAAAGTCCCCTCTTCAGCACCTAGTAGGTGCTGGTCACTTATCCCCAACTGTGATAGCTCTCACACATTAAACACATGTGGCCTGAACATCTCTCAGCTGTCAGGCTCTGTGCCAGAGAGAAGTTTACACAATTGTAAATTCAGAAAACATGATCCCTGCTCTCTCCAATCCAGCAGGCTAAGGAAGACATTAATCACAGGAAAATACAAAAGGACAAAAGGCTGTGAGTGACCCTCCCCTAGTCCAAGATGGTGGCATTTGAGCTAAAGGTTGATGGAAGGATTTGATTGAGTAGACATAAAGGGTAGGAGTCATTCTTATTCCTATTTTAAAGTTAATAAACTGAGGACAAAGAGGGCAACTAATTTGCTCAAATTCATACAGGAAGTTAAAGCTGAAGTCCAAGGGACCCCAAAGCATACTCACTGTCCCATATATTGCATGGTCATCTGGGAAAAGGTTTAAAGAACTATATGGGGCCGGCGCTGTGGCTCAATAGGCTAATCCTCCACCTTGCGGCGCCGGCACACCGGGTTCTAGTCCCGGTCGGGGCACCAGATTCTGTCCCGGTTGCCCCTCTTCCAGGCCAGCTCTCTGCTATGGCCCGGGAGTGCAGTGGAGGATGGACCAAGTGCTTGGGCCCTGCACCCCATGGGAGACCAGGAAAAGCACCTGGCTCCTGCCATCGGATCAGCGCAGTGCGCCGGCCGCAGCGTGCTGGCCGCAGTGGCCATTGGAGGGTGAACCAACGGCAAAAGGAAGACCTTTCTCTCTGTCTCTCTCTCTCTCACTGTCCACTCTGCCTGTCAAAAATAATAATAATAATAATAATAATAAATTTTAAAAAAAGAACTATATGGAAGAAGAAAACATTCTCCCTTCACCCTAAGGGGAATGCTATAGCTGCAATAGTTCATGAAACAGAACTGCCCAAGAACTATCTCTGGTTCTGTCATCTTAAAGTCGGGGATGGGGGCCAGCACTGTGGCGCAGCAGGTTAATGCCCTGGCCTGAAGCGCTGGCATCCCGTATGGGGGCCGGTTCTAGTCCCAGCTGCTCCTCTTCCGATCCAGCTCTCTGCTATGGCCTGGGAAAGCAGTAGAAGATAGCCCAAGTCCTTGGGCCCCTGCACCCATGTGGGAGACCTGGAAGAAGCTCGGTGCAGCTATGGCCGTTGCGGCCATCTGGGGAGTGAACCAGCTGGTGGAAGATCTCTCTATCTCTAACTCTGTCTGTTAACTCTGTCTTTCAAATAAATAAAATAAATCTTCAAAGAAAATTCGGGGATTGTCGCTCCCCCTCTTCGTGGAGGAGCAACACAGGACCCTGCGCTGTTCTTTCTGTCTGCTCGGCCCTCCCCGGGTTTGCTGCTGGTTCTTCCCGGGTTGGCTACTATCCCTTCCACCTCCGTGGAAGGGCAGTTCCCCCTGGCCGCATTCCCCACTTCCGCAGGGGAGCGGCACACTGCCGGCCGGCTCTTCTCGGGGGCTGCACAGGTGTTCCCCTTAGATGTTCCCCATAGATGTTCCCTGTGCATGCCGTCTCTCTCCTCCTTTATAGTCCTCCTCCGCCAATCCTAACTCGGCTGCCCACACGCCAAGTACGCTGCTCTCCAATCAGGAGCAAGTCCTACAGTTAATTGGTTGAACTGGAGGCAGCTGTGCGGAAGCTGTTTACTTCTCTCCCAGCGCCATATTGTGGGAGAGCAGATGCATAGAATAAGTCCTAATTCGAGTAACTTAGTCTAGTCCGGATTGCTCCCCACAGATCCCCCTTTCTTTTTATTTTTTAGCGTTGATACGCGCCTGTCTTCGGTGTCCCGCGGCACACACTCTGCTCTACTTGCTAGAGTTGCCACAGGCTCTTACAAGTCCTATCCATCAGGCAAACCGAATCCGGGTCCTCTCTTCGCCATGTTGTGAGGAGGTTTTTAGGCGCTGATGCGTGCCTGTGTTCGGTGCCCTGCAGTGCATGCTCTGCTCTGCTAGAACTGCCTGCAGGTGTTTACAAAACCTATCAGGCAAACCGAATCCAAGCCTTCTCATTGCCGTATTGTGGGGGAGACTTATTAGTGTTGGTTTGTGCCTATCTTCGGTGACCTGCAGCTCATACTCTGGTCGAGCTGCTTGCTGGCGCTTACCGCCTTAAATCAGGCAGACCGAATCCAAGCTTAATATTGTTGTATTGTGGGGAAGCCTTACTGATGTTAATTCGTGCCTGTCTTCGGTGACCTGCGGCGCATAAGCTGCTAGCTGCCCGCAGGTGCTCATCGCCTCACTTGATTAGGCAGACCGAATCCAAGCTCTCACATTGCAGTGTTGTAGGGAGGCCTTTTTATTTCTCTATTTCTCTATCTCCGGGCATTCCTATTTCTCCCATTTTACTTCTATCTTCCAGCATTCCTATTTTTCTCACTTTACTTCTAAACTTCTGTTTCTCTTATCCCTGCGGCTTTCCGGCACCTCGCCCCGCCGGCGGGTTCCCGGCTCTGCGCCGCTTCAGCCCGCGCGCCTCTCTCATCTGCGCAGCTTCCCGGCTTTGCGCGGCTTCCCAGCGCCTCGCCCCGCGGCAGCTTCACGGCTCTGCGCGGCTTCCCGGCGCCTCGCCCCGCCGGCGGGTTCCCGGCTCTGCGCGCACGCTCCGCGGTCTCCACGCACTTCGCGCCCGCACCACGGCCTCGCGCCAACGCCCCGTGCTCTCTCTGCACGCGGCGGCTTCCGCGAATGTTTCCGCCACCACCGGCATTCAGTCCAAGTTCCCCGGACTAACCTGGCGAATCCTGGCGGCCCACGTCTCTGCCTCTGGTTCCAGATCTTCGCCTCTTGCTCCCCGGGGTGACTTGAAGAATTCCAAGATGGCTTGGCCTGCACTCGCGGCTTCATCCTCCCTAACATTTTTCTCTACCCGGTGTGTTTCCCTAAGTTTTCTTCCAACAATATTCCTCTCATTTCTCCTGGCTTCTCCCCACAGTCCGTATCCGAGTCCAAGCCTCTTCCAGGTTTCACTTTCGCTTTCAGTCTCCTAGCTTCCCCGCCATAGTCCGCATCCGAGTCTATGAAAGCTTTCACTTTCGCTTTCAATCCTAACTTCTTTCCCACAGTCCATATCCAAGTCTATGCCTAGGCTTTCAATAGCTTCTTCCGGCACCTTTCTCGTCCGGCTTTCCCCTAGGCTCTTCGCTAGTCTCTCTCTCCGGTATTTTCCTGCTTCTTCCCGTTTCTTCCCTCCTAAGTTTCCTATCCGAGTCAGGTTTCCTATCCGAGTCACGGCACCATTATGTCGCTCCCCCTCTTCGTGGAGGAGCAACACAGGACCCTGCGCTGTTCTTTTGTCTGCTCGGCCCTCCCCGGGTTTGCTGCTGGTTCTTCCCGGGTTGGCTACTATCCCTTCCACCTCCGTGGAAGGGCAGTTCCCCCTGGCCACATTCCCCACTTCCGCAGGGGAGCGGCACACTGCCGGCCGGCTCTTCTCGGGGGCTGCACGGGTGTTCCCCTTAGATGTTCCCCTTAGATGTTCCCGGTGCATGCCGTCTCTCTCCTCCTTTATAGTCCTCCTCCGCCAATCCTAACTCGGCTGCCTACACGCCAAGTACGCTGCTCTCCAATCAGGAGCAAGTCCTACAGTTAATTGGTTGAACTGGAGGCAGCTGTGCGGAAGCTGTTTACTTCTCTCCCAGCGCCATATTGTGGGAGAGCAGATGCATAGAATAAGTCCTAATTCGAGTAACTTAGTCTAGTCCGGATTGCTCCCCACAGGGGATGGACTCTGACAGGATGGGGCTTTCCCCTTTTACCTACATAGATACAAAGACAAGGCCACCCCACTATCTGCCTCCTGGAGCAAGCATGTAAACGAAGGCCTTCTCATCATTGCCCACCCCTTTTCTATCTCTTTTAGTCTCCTATTCTGGGAAAGGCTTTGCACCAAGCAGATCTCTGTCCACTCCTGTCCTATACACCTAAGCACCTTACAATTGACTGACCCTTTAGCAACTCTTAACCGATGTGTGCACACTGGTGGGGAGGTTTTCCATCAGGAGGCCACACAGGTGGCTGCCGTTCTGCAAATAGAAGTGGATGGTTCTGGACAGGGGATGCTGGGGTCTAGGGTATCCAGAGCGTGTCTTAGAATCAAGGAGACAGACTCGGGTTGCCAGGTTCCCTGAACTACTGCTTCATACAGACCTGTATGTAGTTCAGGTCTGTATGAAAGAAGAACAGGACAGGAGTTACTAACTCAGTGGTTCTCGAAGTGTGGCCCATGAGCCAGGAGAGTCAGCATCCCCTGGGAACTTGCTAGAAATGAAAGCTCTCAGATCCCAACTCCACATCTACCAACTCACAAGGTGCACTTCAAGCTTTCACTTATGCATCATAATTTAGAGGCCTCAGGAAGCACAAGTCTCAGGGCTGAAGCTGAGGGCGCCTGCATCTAAGAGTGGTTA